GTACATATAAGAAAAATAAAAGAATAAGAGAAACAATAGGACAGGGACGGTAGGCACGTTATCTCCCCGATACATGACCTTTTTAGCACTTCTAAAAAGAGAGAGAGAGAAAATGAGCATCCTGGGTGCTTAGCATCTACACACACACACACACACACACACACACACACTTCTTCAGCACTGTGATGTAACCTTGTTGTAAGTGCAACTGGAACCTACCGAGCTGTTTAATTGGATTTATGGCCCATCCCATCAGACCTCTTTAATAAATGGCTGTTTGAGGTGTTTAATAAATGGCTGTTTGAGAATATACCACCTGTAGAATTCCAAGCAGCAAAAGTTCATACAAAATTGATGAAAGTTTTGAGATGAAGTCCAGAAGATGAGCTTTCAGTCATAAACAGTGATTGTGTTACCTGACATTTTCATGATATGCTAAATCATACTTCAGCCGCTGAGGATAGTTTCACACCTGTGGCTGAAATGAGGTTGTTAGTAAGCTGGTCAATGTGTATAGAAACACATCCTTTTTTGTGTCATGTTAGGGCAAGAGAAACACCTAGAACTGCATTGCTGATTTCTCTCTTGAAGGATCCATTGAATCTGCTCATTATGGAATCAGATGGAGTGGGAGATTGAGGTAGCCAGTTCTGGTGATAGATATCTAATCACCTGAGTGTTCGGCCCAAAGGGCTGCCCTTATCACCATGCTATTTCTGTACTTTTTTTATCCATCTTGCTCTCTCCAGTCGCCATGGTAACAATGGCTGCACCTCAAACAGCCATTTATTAAAGAGATCTGATGGGATGGGCCATAAATCCAATTAAACAGCTCGGTAGGTTCCAGTTGCACTTACAACAAGGTTACATCACAGTGCTGAAGAAGTGTGTGTGTGTGTGTGTGTGTGTGTGTGTGTGTGTGTGTAGATGCTAAGCACCCAGGATGCTCATTTTCTCTCTCTCTCTTTTTAGAAGTGCTAAAAAGGTCATGTATCGGGGAGATAATCATAAATGACGTGTCATTATTACATACCGTGCATCTATTATCTCCTGCTACAGCCATGTCAGAGGCAGCTACTGAGGGTTAGATAATTGGGTTCCTTCATGCAGATGGTTTATTATCAGTGTCTTCCAGAAGGAGGTTTAAGACAGTTAGTGATGCTGTTTGCCAGTTAAAGATTAGAGACCCCAGAGAATAATTAACAATCCCCAACCCACTCTTTCTGCAGATTCTTCTGCCTTCCCTCCCTCCCATTGCCTTTTAATCTATTCATTCTAGCAGGTGTAATAAAGTGATAAGGGAAGGCTCAAGGGGTGTTTGTTTGAGTGCTTCTGGGTGTACAGACCACAAAGGATGGCATTTTTATTTCTTTCATTCGTGTGAACAAAGACGCGGCAAACTTTTGTGCTATCTTGTATTGCCCACACACATGTGCAGTTGTATGTTCACTTGCACACACTACTGTTGGCACTGCTCAGATTTTTGCCCACATGGAGAGACTTCCAACAGGGGGGAAAAAAAGAACATTTTATACAGCTATTGCATTGAGATTTCTAGACCAAATGGAAATCAAATGTGCATTCAGAGCTGTTTTGCTTTGAAAAAAGAATCTGAAGAATCATACACTGATCCATCCCATTGGCTCCAGGCCCCCGAAGATGAGTGTGAATATCCTACTTATTCTAAGAGATCCTCTGAATTGCTCTTTCATTCCCTCCAGATATATTCAGGGAATTAAGTTTCAGGACTGATATCTGCTGAACCAACCACACTAAAAATGGTCTATTACTTCCTAAGACTGACTTTCTAAGTGAAGGCATGCTAAATCTGGAAGTATTAAAGCTGATCAATACACATTTATGTACATTTGGAATGAATTTGGATTTAAGTTCACAGTCCTTGAATTTGGAAAATTTCTTAACTCCGTCCCTAGTATTCTACAACTGAAATTATACCGTCGAATATTTGAATCTATAATTTTAGCTTACAGCTTGGAAACTGAGGGACAAAGCTCATTTCGTACTTCCATCTTTTAGTTAAAAATTGAGAAAGAATCTATATTTTAATATACAGGAAAATATGTCATTTGTTATATGCTAAAAGAAAAAAACTAGTGGTTTAATTACTTCTTGGTTTGAGTCATGTTTCATGCCACAATTTTCCTAGGAATTAAGATTTGGGTTTGTATGATTTATCAATACCACCCCCAGAAATAAATTTATAAATAGTTTTAAAGGCATCTGATGACCTGAAGGAAGTGAGTTGGAAAATGAAGATAATCCAGGCCACTTGCTAAAAAGCAGTCTTTCTGGTGATATAATATCTAAATTCTTTCCTCCTTTTAAATCACATCAAACAAAAAAACAACATCACACATCAAGAGGCATTTGCAAAAGTACAACCAAGCAGGACCTTATTTATGTTAACAATGAACACAACTCTTACATCATGATTTGTACACAAGATTGCCTTTTACCTTTCTTCCTGACTACATCCTGAATTTTAGAGTGACTGCATATACAAAATCATTATTTATCCCTTAGTTTGCTTTTTACAGTGCATTGGCCAGCAGATATATCTATCCTCTATCAATCTCTATTTTTTTTCATCCTGTCTTTATTACTTTATAAGAAACTCAAGGTAGCGCACATTCCTAATACAGTATTCTTCTCTAACACTGAAAATCTTTGAACAATATTTGGGTTGATATCCTTTGTTTCTAGCTATTACATTGACACAGTCATTATATAGGTGGGTAGGCTGTTTTCTAGATAGTAACAAATAAACCTACCTATAGATAAGTAGGTTTTTTTTTTTCCAAGAGAAAAAAACCCCACTGCACAAGCACCACTACCCTGACACAAAGTGTAGAGTTTCCTGTAGTGAAGAAAGATATACCCCAACTCCAAATTTTGATTGATCCTGAGGAATTACTTTAAGGGCCTAAATTCATATTTTTATCTGAGCACTATATAGATATAATAACTAAAATGTCTTTTCCAACGTAAGAGAAGAGGAACAGTTTTATTGACAGAAATAATGAACAAGCAAATTAAGCTGTGGAAATATGTATTCGGTTTTTTAAAAAATCCCTCACATTTGAAAAACAAACCTAGCCTCTCACTGACTTTTTTGCATACAGTCAGTAATTGACATGGTCCGTATTTCAAACTAATGCCTTTATAAACTATTTCTTCTTTTAAGCTATTGTGATTTCATACTCATTGCTGACCTCTAGGGGGAAGCACATCCAATCTTTTGAACATGTTGAATGCTATATAGTTGGCATATATAGCAATAGCACTTAGACTTATATACCACTTCACAACATACTTTGTTGTGCTTTTTTGATGACTTTTTGATGTTAGGTGCCCATTTTAGGTCATGTGATATAATAGAACCTAAAAATATAACTGTTGATACTGTCAGGGATTGATAACCTGATACTGTCCAGGCAGGGGTGGGCAACCAGTTCTCTGCCTGGTTGCTGGGTGGGCGTGGCCATGGTGGGCGTGGTCTAGTCAGCCTCCTGTACCATGGCGGGGCGGGGGGGGCATTTTCACCATCCCCAGGCTTTGGAGGTTTTCCTCAAGCCTCCAGGAGGGTGTAAAACAGCCTCCCCGGGGTCTGGAGGCCCTCTAGAGCAGGGGTCCCCAACCACCGGTCCACGGACCGGTACCGGTCCGTGGAACAAGTCCTACCGGGCCGCTGGTTTGCTGGGCGCCGCCATCTTTTTTTGATGAAAAAGTGCTTCCGGTGAGCTTTTCCGGGTAGAAAGCTCACCGGAAGCACTTTTTCATAAAAAAAAGATGGCAGCGCCAGCGCTTCCGGTGAGCTTTTCCGGGTAGAAAGCCATTTCTACCCGGAAAAGCTCACCGGAAGCGCTGGCGCCGCCATCTTTTTTTATGAAAAAGTGCTTCCGGTGAGGTCACTGGAAGCACTTTTTCATCAAAAAAAGATGGCGGCGCCCAGCTAATGCCGGTACCGGGCCGCGCCATAAAAAAGGTTGGGGATACCGGGCCGCGGCATAAGAAAGGTTGGGGATCACTGCTCTAGAGGCCAGAAATCGGCCTGTTTCTGGCCTTTCAGAGCTTCTGGCAGGCCCATTTTTTGCTCTTCCCAGGTTCCGTGCAGACTCTGTACTTACCTGATATACAAAGCAGGCCTCATGGGGACTCCTGGGAGGGGCGGAGAGGGGTGGGCGGGACTAGCCAGGGGTGGGGCTTAACAGTTCACTGAACCAGTAATTAAAAATGATAAAATTAGCTACCAGTGCACCTGAACTGGGGAGAACCAGTAGCAGCCCACCCCTGTGTCCAGGTATCATTGGGCTTCAAATTGTATCTCTAGCATTAGCACTTAGACTTACAGTATATACAGCCCCCTAATGCTTTTCAGCACTTTCTGGGCAGTTAATAATAGCAATAGCACTTAGACTTATATACCGCTTTATAGTGCTTTACAGCCCTTCCTAAGCGTTTTATAGAGTCAACATATTGCTCCCAACAATATGGGCCCTCATTTTACTGAGCTCAGAAGAATAGAAGGTTGAGTCAACCTTGAGCCCATCAGGTTCAAACTCCAGGATGTGAGCAGAGTTAGCCTGCAATATTGCATTCTAACCATTTCAACCCTTATGACCCATGGAAAAGCACTGTGGTAATCAAAAATATTGTCTTGTTTCTTTCTGTCCACCATTGAATATACCACCGATAATCATACTCACACATTTGTTGAGATTCTCCAAGAATTCTGAAAAGTTAATTTTGTAGAAGAACCCTGTTAGTCTATGGTAGCAGAAAAAAATCAGGAGTCTGTTATCACCTTTTTTGATTCACAAATTTTATTAGAAAAGTAACAACCAATTATATATGCTAATAGATAATGAATTTTTAATTTGTTTAATGCAGATAAGAAAAAGAAAACTAAAAATTCATGTACAAAAATTTTATACAGAAATCATTCCAGCCTCGTCCAAAAAGGTAAATTTTTATCGTGACTCTATAACAAGAATAAGAAAAACAAAATGGAAGCAGTAGGTGGAAGATTACCACCATGCCTTCACCTTTATTAACGACACTATCCATGTACTCCTATAGGGTGTTGGGGGTGGGAATCTTTTACCATGAAGAAAAATAATTTTCAACCAAGAAATTCCCTGGTAACGAACAGGAACATAATACTGAATTGTAGAGGGCCTGAAAGTGAGTTTGTGGGCAATCTGTAGCACCAAGTTTGCAAAGATTATGTACAAAGATATGCAACAAGGAAAGTAAAACAGAATAAAATAGGTTAGTGAGTTCCCTTTGGTGGAAAAAACATATTAGGGAATACTATGTGCCAATTAATTCTACCTGTCCGACATGTGCAGAACTTAGACAAATAAATCCGCTGCAAAAATGTTAATATGCCTCCCCTACATAGTTGGCCTTTGAATAAATTGATTAAAATCAATTTATTGGACTAGATGACCTACAAGGTCCCTTCCAACTCTGATTATCTGTTATCTGTTATAAAATCATACATAATAAATGATGTAGGCTACTTTTGTAAGGAATCTATATTATAGGGAGGTTTTAAAATATAAGAATAAATAACAAAATGATGTTACATATCTGTGGTAACGTGTGCACAACTTTCGGTGTGACATTCAGTCATGGTGCCACACTGAAACCCATCGTTTACGTGATTTTCATTATGATGTACGGTCATGGTGTCACATTCAAACTCAACTTTGTTTTCATAGGCATGAGGATCTTCTTCACAACTGAAATATTAGAAAAAGAATATGTATTATTTACTTATTATATTGGCACTCGTTCAAGGATACCATGCATAGATCTCCCTCCAATTTCTTCTCCCAATTTGAGAGATAGCTGCATTGATATTCATGATAGTGTCCTCTATTCTGACCAAGGCTTCCTGAGACACCAAAAACACACATTAAATTCAAAACCGTTTATTTTACTTCAATGACTGTGAATTATCATCATTCACAGCCCATAATGAGTCTCAACCAGTTATAAATAGTCCCATGGAAGTCTGCCAAAGTTCTTTGGGAGAAGTCTGATAAGAAAGCACCTTTATCTTTTTTGAAGTGCTGCCAATGACTAAAGTACCAATTAGTCTTTCAAAACTAAATGGAGCACAAATTCACCACAGAGCTTTCAGGTTCCAAACCGACCAGAATGAACAACGTTGCTTCCTGCAAAGGTTCCTGTCCCTTTTCACTTCCTTTACATCTTATGGGAGGGGCAATCACCTCCAAGCCTTACTCCTGAGTCATCCTTTTTGTCTTAACTGCTCTTGCCTTCTGACAGCTCTGTGCACACGTGCACTGGGAACAGGCTCCCCTCTGCCTCACTCTGCTGACTTCAGAGCCTCCAGAATCTGTGTCAGATTCTGGAGGCTCTGAAGTCAGCACATAACTCCCAGATGGCCCTGGCCCCATTTCTGTATTGGACACAGGACCCTTGTCTGAATCCTCCCCAGACTCCCAGACTGGTCCATGTTCTTCCCCATTGTCCAGTTCTGCTGCCATCTCTGCAGGCTGCCGGCGGACCACAACATCCTGGCCATATGATCCCTCCCTTTCTTGAAAGAGCAGTGATTGGGTGAAAGTAAAAGATGGACAGAATTGGTATTTGCAGTCTTGGGGATGGATGATAAATGCCCGTAATCCACTATCCTGGAAAAGTCATGCTTTCTTTTTAGTCACTGATATAACCACTTGTTCTTTCTGATATAATGATATATGGGAATAACCTTGGGAGACAGGAGAGAGAGCCAGAGACTCAATCCATAGATGGAAGGAGGGCATGGGAAAGATTTCACAAGGAACCATCTCTAGTTTTCTGGAGCATAAAAGAGAAGGAGAAACACTTTCAGTCTTGCAAGAGTCTGTTAATGCAATGTTGCAATGAGGATTAGTACCCCTGTTTGTATCTGGACTACCTCACCTGTACATGGTTAACCTAGTAGAATTGTTGCCTTGGAAAAAGACCAACTCCATGTTCTAAATAACAAATAACGGAACTGGAAAAGACCTTAGAAATCTTCTAGTCCAATCCCTTGCTCAAGTAGGAAACCATGGGTGGGATTCTACCTGGTCGGACCGATTCTATAGAACTGGTTATTATGATTCTGCCCAGTTCGGTGAACCAGCAAATTGCACCACTGGCTGGCCCCTCCCCTCCCTTCCCCACCCCTCACTCCTTACCTGGCATGCGTGCCATCAAACTTGCCTGTGTAAGTTGCTATTTTTCCTTCCCCCCACCCAACCATCATCTGTTCTGCTGTGCCGACAGATTTAGATTAGCTAGAAAGCAGGAAATCGTTGAATTTCTTGCTTTTTAGTTAATCTAAAAGCAGAGCTGAACCTTCCTTAGGACCGAAGCTTCTATTTTTCAGTTCAGACTCAGCTAGTACATTGCAGATAGATAGATCTCTAAGTGAATCTGTGATTCTGTGAGCAACTCAATCTTCCTGCCTGCTTTGCCTGATTTTGGGTAAAAGTTGCTTTTTTATATTAAAAAATTCAATATTTATATAAATATTTATAATATTTATATACAAGCCACACCCACCCAGTCACATGACCACCAAGCCACACCCACAGAACCTGTTAAGAAATTTGAATTCCACCCTTGAGGGACCCCTATATCATTTTAGACAAATGTTTGTCTGAATGATGCTTTGATGTTCCCAAATGATCCTAGATGCTTAAAATATCCATATATCAAATTCTTCTTCCTATAGATTTCAGAAGTGAAGCATTTTATGGTTGCTGGTTAAACACATAGCCAAATTAAAAGACACAATTAAGTAAAAAAATATGAGACTTTACATTTATTGGTTATTATCGATAACATTGTCAGACCCTGTTATGATATATAATTAACTGGCAGTAAAACCAAGAGAAAATGATAAATTAAGGACAAATTGTCACAACCAAATCAAAAAGCACTTTGTTTTCAGAAGTTGGCTTACGATCTGGCATTCACTTTCTTTAGAATAAGCCCCATTGAACACAATGGCATTTACTAAACAACCCTAACCTGAAGTCTGCTGCGGTTGCTGAATATCTTCCTTCCATTCCATTAGAAAAGATGGACTCGTTAGTATTCCCATTCATGAAGGAAACTTGTTTATCTTTTTTTTTTAAATCCCTGCAGAAGCAATTAGAAGGAGCATAATGAAACAAAAAGCATGAAAAAAGACTTGGAGAAAAAAAATTCGTAACTTTGATCTTATATATGTTGACAGCAGCAAGACTACTGTACGCACAAAAATGAAAGGGCATTTTGATTCCCACCATGGACGAATGGTTACGGAAGTTACAAATTTCATGAAGTATATAATATCATACATCCATTTTTCATGATTGTTTTAACTGTCTGGATCAACAGAGATTTTTTTCTGTAAGATATGCTAAAGAGTTTGCTCCACCATTCTGTCTAATAAATATGGGACATCCTGGGTTAAAATTAAAAAAGCCAACATTTACTGAGGCAGTGTGCACTTCAGATCTTCTGTGTTAATTAATTTGTTAATCAGCATATATAAGTATTACATTTTGTATGTGAAGCCATCATTTTTTTTAAATTTATTTGTCAATCGCTTAGGTATAAGTATAATCATGAGTAAGAATACAGGAAATAGGTACGAATAAATGGGGACAATAGGACAGGGACAGTAGGCATGATGGTGCACTTATGCACGCCCCTTACAGACCTCTTAGGAATGGGGTGAGGTCAATAGTGGATAGTTTGAGGTTAAAGGATTGAGGGGGTTAGAGGATGTAACAACAGAGTCAGGTAGTGCATTCCAGGCATTGAACACTCTGTTGCTGAAGTGGTACTTTCTGCAATCATGTTTGAAGTGGCTTACTCTGAGTTTGTATCTGTTGTGTGCTCTTGTATATAATCATGAGTAAGAATACAGGAAATAGGTACAAATAAATGGGGACAATAGGACAGGGACAGTAGGCATGATGGTGCACATATGCACGCCCCTTACAGACCTCTTAGGAATGGGGTGAGGTCAATAATGGATAGTTTGAGGTTGAAGCTGAAGTAGTTATTGACTGGTAGGACATGTCACCACAAGGTTTGGAATGCAATTTGTATATATCTGATTGCTAGAAGAAAAGGCTCAGTTGCATAACCCAATTCTGTAAGGACAACATTCTAACTGTACCAGATTTGGACTGCAAAATTCCAAATAACTATTATAAATATATAAAATCTAAGTTTTTACCAACAAGTGATAACAAATCCATTTGGATTTTTTGTACTCAGATCTTGTAGCCATAGCTAAATCAGGCACTGGGAAATCTCCCTCTCTATTAGGAGGAAACTATGAGAAAGGAGAAAGGAATCCAGCCCAGGCCATGGAAGCAGTTTATTCTTAAATAATCGGGATTTTTTTTCTAATTTCAATCACACAGGATAAAATATTGAAAAATCAGCTTTTTTTTATTTCCAGCAGAGTAATATAAAGGCAACGTTGGGGATTAAAGGCTTTGAGAAAACTCTAAAGGAAATCTTTAATCTTTTATTCATGTTATAAGAGATTCTCCATCATCAAGGCCATAGTTGTTCCAAAGGTGGTTTTTCCAAAAAGTAACTGGACTTTCTTGGTTTTTCCCTTTGAAAACATTTCACTTCTCATCCAAGAAAAAGATGAAGAAGCTTCCTAGATAAGAAGCAAAACATTTTCAAAGAAAAAAAAACATGACAGTCCAGTTGCCTGTTTGAAAAAACACCACTGGGACTTTATTCCTTTAATATTTTCACTTCAGTTTAATGGCATCTGCAGCCATTTTACTTTAGGAAATGAGGAGTCCAATCACAGATCTTGTGACCAAACAGACTTATATAGAATAAAACCAGGTGAAATGCCACCTATTGTGATAAGAGAAAGAAAAATCAGCACTTACTTTTCATCCTGGCACCATAATTTGTTGATGACAAAGGCCATCATTGCCAAAACCAAAAAGACTATAACAGCAATTACACCTTGTAGCCATGGCTCCATAACCCTGTAAACTGTGAAGGAAAGGAATTAATGTATGATTATGGGGAATATTTATTTTGTGTAGTGCATACAGTAGCTTTCCTTGCCAGTAGCTTGCCTGCCATTTTTCGTGTGCCCTTTGGGCAAAGCTCTAGCTAAACCAATGAATAATTGGAAGTTCAGGAAAGTAATCTCTTCTCTTGACTTTCCTGTCAAAAGCAACGTTTTATTTTAGGTGGCATGTTGAAACTTACCGAGCAAATTTTTGACAAATCTCTTTCTGAAGAAAACGGTTGGATTGTTTTTCAACATTACGATTAATTGACCCAGCCCAGTTGTGTTTTGCTGCCCTCTCACCAATATTTCTTGGAAAAATACTCAACCTTTGCTGCACCTTGAAAATAAACTAAATCTGTCTTCCCCAATATTGCAATCTCTCAAAATAATTAAGGCATTTCAAAAGTGATTATGATGATTAGGAAGACAGACCTGATTTGCCAAAAATCACTCTAGTGCTCTCAGTCTTAATTTTTGTCTTCTCTAAAACAAATGTGTATGCATCTTTTTTTTAAGAAAGAAAGAAATATTTCAGTGTCCTGATGGCATTGCTAGTTTGTTCATTATTGCTGAATGTTGGTGCAATAAGGGTATATACATTCACTCCCTGCTCCTTTGGAATTTAAAGGCCTCTGTGAGTGGGTTTCCATTTTGTGTAAAGCCCTAATTAAGACTTTTAAAATCTAAACAAGGGATGTCCAACTATGGCAACTTTATGACTTGTGAACTTCCACTCCCAGAATTCCTCAGCCAGCCATGGAATTCTGGGGATTGAAGTTCATAAGTATTAAAATCCCAAGGTTGGACAGCTCTAAAATTCTAGCTGTAGATGTGCTTTTTATAGCTTTTGAATATATTTATTTGGTTAAGCACTCTAATTTTTTAAATTTTGGATATTGAGAAATTCACACAGGCTCTCTTCAGAACTATGGTCAAATCTATGATGATCTAAAGCAGGATCAGTTTCCCCTGCATGCAGTTTTAAGAAAATTGAGAGAATTGTCAGAAGATGATGAAGAAAAGTGCAAACTAGTCATTCTTTTCCTTTATCAGTAGTGTCATTCTGGATAATCCTCAGTAATCCTGAAACTTTGGAGGAATTCTAAAAGTAAATAAAAGCTCTACCTCAGTTAATACAGGAGCAGATTGTTCTGTCATAGTTAATGCTAGACTTGAATAACCAATGGAAAAGAGTCCAAAGTTCTCTCTTGCCATTTTGCATCTTGCCTTTATTTTTAAAATTAGAACTGTATTTTACTTTTTTTTTACATTGCTAAAAATAGGAGATTAGATATTACTTCAATTTGGTGAGATCTAATTCAGAAGAGGTAAGCACTAGACGTGAAAGCCCTGGAACAGCCAGGTAATAAAAGCCCAGGACTTAATGTACCATCAGTAATTATGCAGATAAATGGATTTTCAGATGAAATATGGGGTTTTTTTCCCTCATGGCTTTAAAAAGTCATCCTTGTACACAACTGTGAAAGGAAAAAGAGCTCAGTGTCCTTGAATGTAGTCTTCATTTGTAGAATTACAAACTTAAAACAAATTGAAAAGTCATCTATTTTATTCTCCATCAATCAATCTGCAGCTAATCTCAGACACTTCTAAGAGATTGCTCATTAACATCTAAGTAATGTCAAACAACCAAAGAACAAATAGAGAAAAGATGTATCAAATCAGAGGCATTTGGAGAACCAAAATGTTTATTTTAATAAACAACACCTGAAAGGAAGCAAGTTCTGCCAACTCTTGATAAGGCTACTCTCATGTCTTCGAGTGTGGCACAAGAATGAAACTTTGCTCAGCATAGTAAAGTTTCATCTGATTGATTGATTGATTGATTGATGTTGAGACTCTAGAACTAAGGATAAATTTCCTGATAGTGAGAACAATTAATCAGTGAAACAAATTGCCTCCAGAAGTTGTGAATGCTCCAATACTGGAAATTTTAAGAAGAGATTGGACAACCATTTGTCTGAAATTGTATAATATGAAATGGTATTCCTGCCTATCACACTTGCCCAATAAAGAATCTTATCCTATCCTATCCTATCCTATCCTATCCTATCCTATCCTGCAGTTGTTTGTAGCCCTGAACTTTTACCTTAATGATAATTGACAACTCTGAAATGTATTGTTGGATGTTGCAATGAACCAATAATGTCCATTGCTTAAAAATGGCATTTGGTGGCCAAATCTGACATCATGATGAATGTTTTAGACACCATAAAATGTATTGTTTCTTTTACAAGAAACAGCTACTAGAATCCTGTCTTCCTGCAAGAGTCCTACCAAGACCTCTTTCCTTTAACAACAGTTCATTAGTGCTATCATTTATAGGATGCAAATATCTTGGACAATGAAGCAAAACAATATAAAAACATCTTAAACTATTTTTCTGCCCTACAGAAAGCATCCGGGAATCTTCATTTTCTGTATCTGTTTGCTGCCATTTTGTGGTCCTCCAGATTTTTGTAACCAAAATATGGTAGCTCTAAGATAATCAACAATAAAATGTTAAATATTATTTAAAATGTTTAAAATATATTATATGGATTAAGGACAGTGTTTTCAATCTTGTTGAGCTGGCTGGAGAACTCTACAAGTTGAAATCCACATGTCTTAACATTGGCAATGTTGAGAAAGATTGATCTAGGATAACATAAACAATTCAATAAAATTTACCTATTACATTCCTTTGAGTTAATATATCATACATAAAATACCAGAACACAGATAGTAAAAAGAAAAGAAAAACTCATACATACTAATGAATATCAACTTCATAATACTCTGAACTTAAGGCTATCTAATTATTAAGAGTGCTGTCATATATTCACTAATTCAGGAATTTCACTGAACCTACTGAGATTTACTTCCAAGTAAACATGAAAAGAATTGCAAAACCATTCTGAAACATTCCCATGGGCTCACAAAAACAGTCTACTTATTTTCCCCCCACAATGCTGAGTTAAGAACTTTTTATACTTGCAATTCTACTGTTTTAAATGTGTAACACTTTAACTCCTGGTTAAGAGTTACACATTTCCATACAGGTTCAAAAAGGAACTACCAACAATGAGGGTTAAGAAAATATTCTAGGCAATCTGTTGATTATAAAGTTAGGAAATGGAATAGTGGAAACTGAATCCCTAGAATTTGATGCAAATCATATTTATATGAAAGTGTACATTTTGCATCAACATATCATTTGATGTAACCATACTTCTAAATAAAAGAAATGAAACATTCCAATAAGACAAAATTAAATAAGTTGCAGAAAAATTCTTTTTGGATTTGCAAAAGTAGAACTTATATATATACATATCTATCCATCACACTATACCTTTTGGAGCAAGCTATGATATGCACAGAGCATAAACGAGCCAAGCAATGATAAATAAACAAAATTAAAAGCATGATCACAGTTGACACTACTTTGCAACTGTCATCTGATTTTCCAATAAGTTTCACTGAATTTATTGTTTCTTATAAACTAATATGCACAGAACACATACCAGATGATGAATTTGGCTGTAATGTTGTACCTAGTTTCTTGAGATGAAAACCATAATAAATCTAAATGAACCTGTTTGCAGTTCACTTCCATATACAATGGCCAGATCAGAGCCCTAACAACACTCATTAGAAAATAAGTCCTATTAATCATATTTTTGAGTAAATATACGTAAGGTTATTCTTTATGAATTACATTGCTCTCTTTTTTCTCCAATATGCTTAAAATTGGATTTTTCACTTTCAGGGACTAGTACTAACTTCCATTAGTTTTCAGCTATTTTGTGTGTGTTAATGATGGTATTTTGTGTTTAAATCAATGAGAACCCAGTAGTATAAATAAAAAATTCATTGAAATGAGAACATATATGACCTTGTTTATTAATTGAGCTAAGGTGTAATGTGATATTGATATATAGTTTGTAATTCTGGTTTCTGACAGTATGCAACGGGAATTCGAATATAGTCTTACATTCACGTTCATGAATGTTCATAACTAATGTTAACTTTAGAAACTTTTCAAAAAGAGAAGTATCAAAATGTCTAATGTTGTCAATTTTAGGCCCCATAAGCTGTCCGTTATAGCCATTTAATGAAAAAGAGGTTGATGGAATGCACCCATTCATGTACAATATGCAGCACTTTATAGAAGTCACATCAAACTTTTCATCAGTGGTCAAATGCCAAAGAAGACAGGACTTCATCCCACCAAGTTAAACTTTTACTCCACTGTTAAAGATACAGGAATCCTTCTTGTTTTGCATCTGGCCATTATTTAAAGTATAAAAAGATAAAGATCACCTTTGAATCAAGAATAACTGCAGGCGACCATTGCAACATGGATAAAAACATACAGGTTTTCAACAGAGCAAATGGGGTTTAGATATGGCTTTTTTCTGTTTCTTCTATTATGTTTTGTAAGTTCCCAGTCTACTCTACAGAACAAGGTCATGAACATGTCATTAGAACTTCTGGTTTTCAAGTAACATTAAAAAGGCTTATAGAAATAGTTGGATAGGAAATAGACAGGTTGGGGTTTATCTGAAAAATTATTTTTTAGAATACTTTCTAGCTAACTTTTTAAAAATACTTTTGTTTGATTAAGCAATCTTGAAATCTCATTCATTTGTGTCAACTTTAAACTGGCCTAATAAAGCATCTGGCCCTCCAGAGAATTTTGGAGTGGCATCCAGAGAACTTTGGATTTCTAGACCACGGTCTATAATACCTATATCAGAGGTCTCCAAACATGGCAACTTTAAGACTTGAAGTCCACAAGTCTTAAAGTTGCCAAGTTTGAGAACCCCTGACCTACATGAAGAGTTTCTTGCAGGGGATTGGCTACACTTTACAAGAATAGGGAAGAACGTTTTTGAAAATCAACCTGCTCAGCTTATCCAGAGTGCTTTAAACTAAAACTGGAGGGCAGGGGGAAACCAAATTTTAATCCAAAAGCATAAACCCCATGGCAATCAACCAAGTAGTAAAAAAGAAGAGGAACTGTAATACAAAACAGGAAATATAGGAAGCAACACAGGACTCAGATGTCTATACACTAACATTCAAAGTATGAGGAACAAACAGGGGGAACTTGAAGTCATATTACATGAGGGCAATATGACACCATTGCCATTACTGAAACTTGGTGAGATAAAGTCTATGATTGGAATATACTGCTAGAGGGATTTAAATTGTTCAAAAGAAACAGGTGCAACAAAAGAGGAGGCGGTGTTGCATTACATATATAAAAAATAACTACACCTCTACAGAAAACAAGGATGAAAAGCTTCTTGAAAAATTTGGGTTAATATAAAAGGAAAAAGAAGGGTTGACCTATTCTCCAAAGCATCTTGAGTGCAGGACAAAAAATAGCCGATGGAAGCTTATCAAAGAGAGACGTAACCTGGAATTAAGGAGAGATTTCCTACAAGTGAGAACAATCAGTGGAACAGCTTGCCTTCAGAAGTTGTGGGTGCTCCATCACTGGAGATTTTTAAGAAGAGATTGGACTGCTACTTGTCTGGAATGGATTTCCTGCTTGAGCAAAGAGTTGGACTAGAAGACTTCCAATTTTCTTATTCTATAATAGAGATGTAAGGAACTGGAAAAATGTTAGCTTTTCACAAAGCAATTCCCTCCAAATCATTATGTTTATGTTTTACAGAATGGGTACACTTCTTTAAAACAGGGTTCAAGTTGTTGCCTTCTCAACCGTTGGAGCTTTAAGATCCTGAATTTCCTAGCCAGCCCTGCTGGTTGGAGAATTCTGGGGGTTCAAATCAGAGGTGGTATTCAGCAGGTTCTGACCAGTTCTGGAGAACTGGTAGTGGAAATTTTGAGTAGTTTGGAGAATTGGCAAATACCACCTTTGACTGGAGATTTTACGGTATCCTTCCCCTGCCATGCCCACCAAGCCACGCCCACAGAACCGGTAGTAAAAAAAATTGAATCCCAGCACTGGTTCATATCCACACATCTTAAAGTCCCCAAGGTTGAGAAACACTGCTTTAGAAGTTCTTTGGGAAATAAAGATCGCAAGTATGAATGTTTGGCACTTGACTCTTCAAAGGAAATTCAGCAAAATGATTTAAAACAAGAGCAAAAGGAAGGGCGTTGCAAGGTCTATCACTGTCCCTCCCTCAGCCTGCCCCAACTGGAAGGATGTGGAGGGCCAACTCCAGCTCTCATAAGTTCCCCATAAGTTTTGAGGGCAGTCCTCCATTACCAAGGGTTAATTTTTAATAGAACAGAAAAGCCATTTAAGTACTGGATTAAAAGATAATTATATTAACTATATTTAACTTGTATGAAACGAGAGTGAACTCAAAATCAGTTTTGATTCTGAAGGCAAAGAAGAGCATTCTGGCCAGAATACATGGCATATACCAGCTATAAAATGCAGCTGGCAAAAAGGAATATTTATATTTTAAAGACAAAGAAACAGCCTCTTTCAATCCCTCCCTCTACCTCCTTTTACCAAGCTAAATGGGATGGGGGGAGGCCCAATGACTTATTTCTTTCCTCAAGTTGACCAATTGAGTGAAAGGTGTAAAAACAGATTTAGGAGGAAGATTTATACTTTTCTTGGTGGGTAGTTACAGCAAAAGATGTTTTCTTTCCTTCCTTCCTCTCTCTTTCCTTCCCTTCCTTTTCTTTCTTTCCTTCCTTCCTTCCTTCTTTCTCTGTTTCCCTTTCCCTTTTTTTATTTTTCTGCTGCATGTCATATTGAAAAGAGGAAATGCCCTTTGGGTTTTTTTTTGCAATAAAGGGAACTAACAGAGTGGGAAGTGGGAAGAAGAGAAATGGCCACCTCCCACCTGGTATACTTTCAGTCCTGGCTGAAAAGTTTTCTACCACGAAGGCCTATTGATCATGTTCTATCCAGATAGAGATTGTTAAAGAGTTGTGAAACTAAAATCTGGGAAATCTTGTCATATATATATATATTTTGCATGTAATGTCCATGTAAATTTTACTGCTAAATTACATCACCTAGCAGGATGAGAAACCAGTGTCTGAACTCATCATTCCTCAAGCAACTCCTGTTCATTACAGGTTTTCTTTCTCCAGAAGCAACAAAGCTCTGGACTTTCCCAGCTTACGACATTTTTAGCTTGTGCCTGCTCTTCATTTACATATGTGAGTTTACTGTGCCAGCCTTCTTTGGCTCACAGTTGACTCAGGGCCAGGAAATGGGTTACTTTAGCTTCAGCAAATAATCTCACGTATGCTCAACCAGTTCCCTGAAGCATATATTTATATCTTCTAATCTATTTAAGGTAAGTTTCTTTCCTTTTATATTATGGAAACCTTTGTTCTTCCAAGTTGCAGGACAGATGCACCTAAACTCTGTCTCCCCAGAAAATATGGCTGCTATATATTGAATTTCTACAGAAATTAATTCAAAATTTGTATCACTACGTACAAGTTAGCATCTGCCAATGTTAAGCAACCAGATATTTTTTTAGGATCTATTTCTTTTGTTTTTTCAAAACATGAAAAGCAACTCTAGTAATCTTGGATTTAAAAGCCAGATAAAACCTGTCAACAATGGAGAAAGAAATAAAGCAGGCAGTATTATGTGCTGTAATTTATTTACTCTAGCTCAAAAAACCCTTTCAAGCAGTATAGGAATTCCTGGTAATATTAACTCCATAAAGTGCTAATTTTTTACAACTGAAAACAGAAATGCAACAGACAAACCAAGGGGGAACTGAGGTGAAGAGAAGAAACTGTGTGAAGAAAACAAGAAACCTACAGAAGGAAACATCAGCTGCCATACGCAACCTACCCAACACAAAAGCAAAAAAGCTAAAATGGAATATATTACCTGCCTGGCAGTTCACAGGATCCCAAGCAGCAAAAAAGCAAAAGGTAACAAACAGAAAACTTTTCATGCTGGTGGCATATAGAAGCCACTTGCCCGATCAACAACTAATATTCGTTGGTAGTGAAGTAAACTTACTCTTTCTCTGAAAAAGACAAGAAAGCAATAGGTGCAACCGTAGGACTGAAGGTGTTTATATGTCGGCCACACCTAGATTAGCCTGTTAAATTATCAAACCATTATTGGGAGGTTGTCCCTCACAAACATTCCAGAACACTTTAGCTACCTAAGGAGAGAAGAGAGTGGTTTTTACCACTCCTCCTTTCTTCTTGCACAACTGAGAGATCTGTGGGTTGAGTTTTTGGCAACTCATTCATGGCTTGGAGAGAGTCCAGGGGGCAAAAAAGGCGGAAGTATGTTTAAGTATTTGGCAAAGAAGAGCTGAGAAACCAAAATTACATGCTGTTCCAATGGGTTTGATATATAGGACAGCTCAGAGAACTAATTAAAACAAATATTTAAAGAGGAATAAGATTTATCTCCCACAAACAAGAACTTCAGAAACTGCTCAAGACATTTTTTTGATTTATCACTAAAGCTAGAGAGTAGAATACACAGACAGGCATTCAACTTTTTTCATCTGTTTCGAGGAAGGAAGATGGACAAGAATTTTCTTTCAATTTTGGGAAATAGATGCAGGACACCAATCTGTTCAGAGAACAGGAACTAAGAGAAAATGTGTTCAATGTGTTTTAATTATGTTGGCATTGGTGGATAAGGCATGAAATACCAATGATATAAATTGGAAAGGTATTGAAAAAAAATTCAGAAGATTGGATATAGATATGCATTGAAACATGCAATCCTACCCCATACATAAACCTCTACCACCCAAACATGGATTGTTAAGTTTTTTTTAAAAAAAAATTATTAGCAAAGACAAAAAACTGCACGCTATTATACCAGTGGTGGGATTCATTTTTTTTTACTACTGGTTCTGTGGGTGTGGCTTGGTGGGCATGGCAGGGGAAAGATACTGTAAAATCTCCAGTCAGAGGTGGTATTTGCCGGTTCTCCAAACTACTCAAAATTTCCGCTACCCATTCTCCAGAACTGGTCAGAACCTGCTGAATACCACCTCTGTATTATACCTTTCCAGAATGTTTGTTCATTCAAATAATTGGCATACATGTCATCTCATTTGACCATTTGGAAAAATTAGACTGGACCCTGTGGTTGAATAGAAGTTTCTTGTCTAACACTGAGACCATTGAAAGATATCCTCTAATGATACAATTCAGTTTTTGGTCACTGAGTCTCAAAAAATTGGGACCATTAACTTGGTAGTTAGCTCTCTTGAATCTATTTTCTTTAAGACAAGACGTCTCCAAAATGGACTATAAATACCATTCATTCTAAGTGTTCCTGCTGCTGGGCAGGAAATTAAAGGACCAAAGTTTACCATGATTAGAGAATGTGAGATTGGGAACACAGTTGTAACAACAGAAGAAAATTTAGTTTTTCCTCCCACTAATAGGTCAATCAGGCAAATGGAGCTATACATGGCCAGTCTGATTTGTATTATTCCACTTGACAGAATTATGCTTTAGTTTATGTTACCCGCATCAAGCAAGGCCTGGTTAGATACAGATGAACTTATCTATTCCACTAGGAATTCTGTAAGTTTAAGTCCACACATCTTAAAAGTTGCCAAGTTTGAAAAGCACTGATATATAGATGATATAGCATACTTTCAGCTGAAATGTTCCTATCTGATGTTGAAATAAAAAGGATAATTAATTTATAATATTATGTAGCAGGAAAACTTCATTTTGAAGGGGATCATGTACATTTCAAAAGGAGAGAGCTAGCTGATCAGCATTTACAGTTATATCTACTTGGATTGGATTTCAACAATCTGAATATTGTCAATAAAAACTAAATTTTCTAAATACTTAAACGTTAAATGTATAAACATGGCTTAAACCCAATGAAGGAAATCAGTGTGCTTAAAGTTGGCATTAGTTATGGCTGAAATTCTAAACATACTTAACTGAAATATGGTTGACTTTTAATTTGATATTTAGGATTTCATTCTGTATCCAAGACCATAAATTAATCATGACACATTTCAGCAACATTACTTTTAGTGGAGCTTAATCATCTTTAATTTACCTGGACTAAACAGCCAATTCATGCACTTATGCTCAAATTTAAATTTAGAACTGTTGTAGAATAGAAAGACCATCACACTTTAAAGCAGTTAAATTATAACTGAGATTTGTGAAATATTTGTTTAAAGGCCTTTCTGCTTGAATTTAACTGTTTTAGGCTGAAGGCAAAACCAGACACATTTTGTAGATCCATTATTATATCTCTCTCCCCCATCTTCCAACCAGGGGTGGGATTCAAACATTTTAACAACTGGTTCTGTGGGCGTGGCTTAGGTGGTAGGCGTGGCTTGGTGGTCATGTTATTGGCTGGGTGTGGCCAACTCAATATCACTCACATCGAGGCACACATCTCCTCGCCTGGCTGCTCATGACTCTGGGGATGCTGCAACAGTCATAAGTGTGAAAAATGATCATAAGTCACTTTTTTCAGTGCCATTGTAACTTTAAATGGTCACTCCACACAAGCAAAGTACCAGAAAGGAGGGGGGGGAAACTCTAGAGAAGTTCCAGAGAGTTCTGGCAAGAATGTAATAAGAGTTAACCGAGAGGCAGTTTCTGTAAGCAACACCAGAATGTTTTCTTCCTGCCTTCCTTACAGGATTAGGCCAGTAATTTCTTTTAACAACCCGTTCTCCAAACTGCTTAGAATGTTAACAACCGGTTCTAGTGAATAAGTGTGAACTGGTAGAATCCCACCCCTGCTTCCAACACTCACAAAGATACACACAGCTTTAAAGCAATTACAATAAAGTTCAGTTTTGAGTGGATAATACAACATTATTAATCTATTGCCCTTCCTTGTCTGCATTTGGATTCCCACTTACCTCTATTGTAGTGACAACTTTGCAAGGTAAGAAACAGGCCTCATATTAAAAAGGGCATTGCCTACTTCAACAGTACATTGTTTCCAAGTTTCATCCCAACCTCAGAACTCTTTGACTTTATGCCTCTAAAGTGATACAAGTAATCCTGGACTTACAATCACAATTGAGCCCCAAATTTCTGTTGTTAAATGAGACATTTGTCAAGTGAGTTTTGTCCCATTTTACGACCTTGCTTGCCACAGATGTTAAGGGAATCACTGCAGCTGTTAAGTTAGTAATATGGTTGTTAAATGAATCTGGCTTTCCTATTGACTTTGTTTGTCAGAAGGTCGCAAAAGAGGATCATGAGGGATACAGCAAAGGTCAAAAGTATGAAGCAGTTTGCCAAGCATCTGAATTTTGTTCACATGATCATGCAAAAGCTGCGAACTGTGAAAAACAATCTTAAGACACCTTTTTCAGCGGTACTGAACAGTTACTAAACAAACTGTTGTAATTTGAGGCCCACCTGTACTTCAACTTTAAAAATGTGATTCCATAAAAATAAACATTTGTATAATAAGATCCTCACTACTACATTGTTAACCAGAGTATGATGTCAATGGATAATCCTACTGAAGCATCCCTGAAGCAGCTTGAGGATTTAGAAATTAATACGTTTGCTTTCAAAATCTTTCAGGCTCAGACAACTCAATAAGAATCAAATTATAGTTGCCCCTAAAGGTAGCCTGTGGTTAAACTGTTTTCTCTGTGAGATACGCTTTAGCCATTTCTTGACAAATCTCCAAACGGGAAGGGTGAGCGGAAATGCCACCAAGGGTGGAGGGGCCTTCCAAGCATATAGTTGCAATTAGAAGGAGATCACCCATTCCATCTGAGGTTACCCTAGATAGTGGAACAAGGGCAGAAAAATGCTCCCGTGGCTAGGTCCTGTGACAGATTATCACTTTCATGTGACTTCCCAAGCTATCAGCCTTGCAACTTATCAGCAAATGCAGCTTGCACTCAGAAATATGCTCCCATCTTTGCCGTCAATTTGAAGCCGGGTGAAGATTAGGGACAACGAAATACTCCATTATTCATTCTGTTTGATGTCCAACGGGTACCAGAGGTGGCCACCTGCAATTAGCCTTTTCCACCCTCCAAATTCCAAATTGGGGATGACTTTCAGATAAATCACCTGGGCGCACATATTCACTCAAATGAATGAATATGACTTGTTATTCAGTGATTCTAGCATCTCTGTGACTGACTGACTGGTTGATTATGCACCATCAAGTCAGTGTCAACTTCGAGCAAGTGCTTAGATTTTTTTTTCTCTCTGGAAAACATCTATAGCATGAGGAATATATTTGTCATAATTTTTAGCAGCCAAATGAAAAAGCTAACATTTCTATAGAGAACTGCAAACTGGTGCTTTGTTCCAAGCATCTTGTTTCTATGACAAGAGTCAACCGAGTAATTTATTTATGCTTATAAAATGTGACTTTATTAAAATGTGACTTGAATAAATATCATGATGTTACTGCTTCTGTATTTATTTGGTGGGTTTTTTTTTTTTTGTTTATTTCATTATTTAAGCATATGTGCTGCAATTCATTCTTGTAGGTTATACTCCAAACCATGAAATTACCTGTTATAGTCCAGGATAATGTTGTTATACTGCATATTAAAGTTCTCCGTTGATTGCAAGCTATTGCAGAGAGAGCCATGGTGGCACAGTGGTTAGAATGCAGTATTGCAGGCTAATTCTGCTGACTGCCAGGAGTTCGATCCTGTCCGACTCAACCTTCCATCCTTCTGAGTTTGATAAAGTGAGGGCCCAGATCGTTGTGGGCAATATGTTGACTATGTAAACCGCTTAGAGAAGGCTGTAAAGCACTATGAAGCGATATATAAGTCTAAGAGCTATTGTTATTGACCGCACTGAATTTACTTTGTATAGGATGGATTATAACACAGTGCTTATACTTTATATACAGCATTTAACGGTTGGTTGATTTTCTAGGCCACCAAACCTAAACCAGGCCATTTATTTCTATGCTGAGCATCTGTAGGTAGGTCTGGAAAATCTTATCTCTGGAACTCTGCAGAGTCATTGCCACTCTTATCCAACCAATTGAATGAACTCACAGCCTTGTTTAGGATATCAGGATCCATATTCCATGTACACAATTGATATTTCAAGCAAATCATGGGAAGAATAACTGTTTCTGCTTGCTGCTAGAATCAAATGAGCTGTTCTGCTAGTATATAGCTGAGCTATAAAATTGCAACTATATTGGAATTGGAAAAGGGAGTGCAGATTTAGGTAGCTATGAAATAATGTATGAGTTTAAA